AAGGCGACCCCCACGAAATGGAATCACGACCTGGTAAGACATACAGGAAGTCGATGGATACAGGTGGCTCAGGGCCCTGCTTTTGTGACATACCTTGGGGTAGGCCTATATTCAGCAGTGGACTTGTGAAGGGCTGTAATGATGACGATGATGATACTTCAAATAAGGAGGTTAAAAGGGAAAAAAATCACAGCTAAGTTGGCTTAACAAGTTAACTAGTAATGGTCGACGAACTTATAAAATGCACTAGAATTATGTAAACATTTTGTTACAATTCCATAGAAAATGTACTAAAATTAGCTGAAGTTTGTCATTATGTTGTAAAAACTTTTGCAATACTACTATAGTTTTACATTTTCATTTGCTGGGGTAGGCAGAGAGCATCGATCACCAAGAGACCGATCCTGACATACCACATTACATTATTTTTAGTTTGTAGTTATTATGGGACTACGGTTTTGTTTGGTACTCTTAATTTACGCGGGCGACCCTCAGGATAGTTTGGGACAAAGGTGGTTTAGGGGAAGGTTTTTTACTTCGTTACGGTCAAGTACATTGTTCACGTATTATGACGGGCAATTACGGTACCCTACATTATCTTGTTCCGACACGCACTTCGCCGGTTTATTATCTTATATCATCAAGTACATTTCATTATGTTTAACATAATTATAACAATTGGACCTCCACATTACTAGAGTAACTAGCATAGCTCAATAGATCAGAAGGCTGAAGTGGTAGTGAGCCGACCACAAAGTTCGAAGAACTGAGAATCTATCAATAAGAAAGATTCTTGAGTGGCAGACCTCGTACCGATTCTAACTAGATGACCTGGTGAAATATACAGAGAATCTTTTATATAAGTCTCTAGACTATTCTGTAGAGAAGGCATACCTTTAATAGTGGATTTTATAATTAATTTTAATTATAAGGAGAACAAATCGCTAAAATATGTTCTATTATCGACTTTTCTTACAGTGTATGGGTATAGTGATATTAATAAAAATTCGACTTTTATAAACAGGTCGTCCGATAGCAAGGGTGTCATGGTGGAAGTCACATGCTTTACTAGCCAACTCAGAAGCAAGAGCTACAGTCTCATTTAAACTTCACAGGCCTGACTTCGGTACCGACATCACATGTCAGGTAAAATAATGAATCCATCTAAATAATCTGCCAATAATTATAACTGCCATGTAGAATTAGAATGGGAGAAACCATCAGCTCATTTTGTCCCTTGTGTGTCCTGAGAGGTGACGAAGGGGTATGCTATAATAATTTTATAAGGTTTTATTTTTCCTGTTTATTGTTTTTTATTTACAGTGTTTTATAAAATCTTCATTAGGATATTAAATTTAAAATTGCAACTGAATATTTTAACTCTAAATGAACACTTTATTGATGAGTTTGTATGTACTCGTAATTTAATGTGTATCCGCCTTTATTCAATTCGATATAATTTTTAAATCTAAATTCTACGTTTAGCAACATTGTAATTGTATAGAAAATAAATAACTAAAAAGTTTTTATTTTGCAGGCAGTTACGGATCCATCAATACCACCGTTATCTAACAGACTTTCGATTGATATGAATTGTAAGTCGTTTCCATTTTATACACCAATTTGCGTTAGTAGTTATACAAGATATTACATCCTTCAGGCTTCGTAAGCTTGACTTAAAAATATCAGAGATGCTCTGAAAGATGTTATGCTCCTGGAAATATGTAAGAGATGAAATAATTGCAGTGTTTTACTACAATATATGAAAATACTCTTGGTAATAATTAATTACATTTCTAAATTTTGATATGATTTTTTGGAAACTATATCTTCTTCAATACAATTTTTCAATTCTCACATTGAAACTGTGAATGTGTATCGTTGTCTCTAAAAACGGAAATTAAAAAAATGCTTTAAAAACAAAAACAGCAAGAGTATTGTACTATGCGATATCTCGAAATATTTTTATTTTTTCCTAACACAGTAGCCCAACTAGGAGGGATTTCAAAGAAATATTTCCTACTAAAATCTCGAAGCAACGCGATGTGTAGCAAAAAAAATATAGGGTGTTAGATTTTCTATAAAGATGTAAGATTGAAAAACGAACACACAGTTTAGCAGATACATATCATAGCGCTATGCTGCTATTTAGTACGAGCGTGATCCTTCCCCAATCTATAATCGAGACAATTTATTCATGCTGCAGCACAGTACGCTGTAGCGTGACTCTGTAACGTTTATTTTAGTATCGGTTGGTAATTAATTACTTACTGCGCATTATCCAATAAAAGCTATATACAATATATTGAACCAGGTAGGTAATTTATGAGTCCTTATATGTCTGCAGTACCTCCGCTTTCGGTGCGAATACAAGGCGGGAAGCGACCTTTAGTGGCTGGTCAAAGTACGGAATTAACATGTCAAGTAGTGGGGGCCAGGCCGAAACCTGTTATATCTTGGTGGAAAGGAGGAACCAAGTTAACTACTGTAAGGGATTCTGTAAGTATAAAAAATAATTGTTATCTATTATTTTAGGGATAAATGTGATTGTTACTGGCAATTCACAATATTGTGCTAGTGTTTACCTGAACGTACCTATGGTAGTAAAAGTTGGGTGTGATGGAAGAGGCACAGGAGTAGAATTAATTCTGTAGTAATTCGGTCATTAGGGGTATGTGAGGAGTGACTTTGTATGACATAGTGAGAACTAGTGTGATGAGAGAAAAGTGTGGTTTGCAAGATGTTGTGTTCAGGATTAAGAAATAATGCTTCGGCGATTTGGTCATATAGAAAGAGTGATAAAATAATATTATGTTGTAGAAGCGATTGGCCGAGTAGGCGAGGGGCGCCTAAGTTGGAAGTATACCGACCATATTGGCCAAATAATTAATAAGCTCTAACAAATGGTAGCTTCACGTCTAAGCTCTTGCTGTAAATTTCACAGTACGCGAGCAACCTGCGTCCGTTTTCCGTCGTCACCAATGAAATTGTTAATTACAATTTTAAGTGATGATTTACCATGTGCTCGGCGCAAAGGAAAACATTGTAAAGAAACCTGAATGTCTGAGAAATAAGAAACAAACATTTCGAAGACATGTGAAGATCGCCAATACGCATTGGGGCAACGCGGCGGATATTACCTTGCCGTAAAATCCTTTCAGAAACTCATATACACTCATTAACAGAACTCGTATAAGCTGTAACTTTAACTTTTAACTTTAAGATAGGCCAAATAGGAGTTAAGAGATCCCTTAACCGACGAATATGTATACGTAGAAATAAGTACCAAGCTTTTTCTAATTTGTTTTGTGTTGATTAATTGGGTAACATACATAATTGTAAGCTGTTTTTTTTAAAGTCCCGCTGGGTTTCTTGCCGGTTCATCCCAGAACAGAAGTTTTTTTTTCGAATCAGTGGTAATTAAACAAAAGAGTGAATTTCAATAAGTATTATTTATAATCTAAATTGAATAGAAAATGTTTCTATTCCTATTTCTGTACGTAAAAGAGGCGAGAGGAGAGGTGTGTCAGGATCCTGCCAAATGAAAATATTTATAAACAATTTGTGCTATTTGTAATTTAGCATTAAACGATTTAGTGCATGAACTGTTCTATATTTATCATTTACATTGTAATGACAGCGTATCCCAAGTCCACCGCTCGACATTCTCCCACAAGGAATGCCACAAAACAAGGTCCTGAGCCACCTGCTGCTATTGACTTCCTGCGTGTTTTTTTACATTTATTTAGCAAAAGATATGAATTTATCCATGTCGACCATCTTGATTTGTATCTTTATTGTTGTTTGAACAGCGCATGTTTAAATTCGTCAAAACGAAAAAATATTCTCGTTCTAACCAAAACTATCCGAAGCATTTTATTTTAAAGATAAAACTAAATATGTGATAAATATATTCTACCAATACTTTGTAAGCTAGTTTGTGCTTTATTTGGAGAAACGCCAAATGCGTAATGGGCTGGAGTTCGATTCGTGACAGTAAATGCCACAGATTCAACTACCGTCGTAAACCGCAACTACTATAAGCTTTTAAGCTTAGTTGGAGTGGTTAACAGGATTGTGAGATATATTTGAGTATTTTCAGCTATTATAGTAATTGTTGATCACATATATTAAGTGTCTTTGAAGACTCAAAAGACTCAGTATATAAGCGTTGTATGCTATTAAAATATTTAATATAAATTACCCATTATAGCTTATCACATGTCTATTGTTGACCCTAGATTGAGTCGTAGGGAGGTCATTGTTATAGAAGCCACATTTTGCATACAGGTTTACAACTTAGAATTACAAAAAAAAAAAAATATAGATACGTCATACTCGCTCTAGAATGGCAATACGAAAGTCAGGTAATTGCCCGACTCTCATTCAGTCGGGCACGCTCTCGCGTCACTTTGCTACAGAGCGTAAATCTTCCAGTTATTCGTGACAAAAATGCCTCCCTGTATTTTTTTTTGGTGGTGCACAAATTATACGGCAAGTGTTAGAGACAAGATAAACGTCTCATATCGTTCATTACACACACACACACACACACACACACACACACACACACACACATCACATATATATATATATATAGTATTTTTTTTAGTTAAAAAAGTAATTTCGTTTGACTATTGTCCCTATTCTCCTCCGTATCGGGGTAAGTCACGCGCTCGCGCCAATGAGCGCTTAGCAGTAATCAATGGGTAACTAATAATGTATATTTATCTTTTTCTAACCATAGGTATGCATAACTGTCATTTGTCAACAAACATCATTTGTCTCTTTTTGTTAGCACAACGTGTCCTAATAAATAACTATACGTAGATATAGTACTACTTACGGCACTTTAAAATCAATAATGTTATTGTGCAACCTGTCTATTCTTAATACGTCTTTGTTAACAAAACAATAATTTCGTCATTATTTAACAGACTTCGATGGATGGAAATATCACCATAAGCGTTCTAACTTTTGTGCCAGCGATAGAAGACGCAGGGAGAGTTTTATCATGCAGGGCAGCTCAACCAAAAATATCGCACACTACTCGAGAAGATGGCTGGAAAATTGAGATACAGCGTAAATATCTCAACAAATTCATCTTAAGATTTTTCTTATATTAATGTTTATAAGCCATTGCTTTTATTCGTTGATATACGCAAGCTAAACTGTGTTCGGGTTAACATTCGATATTTTAATTACCTGATAAAAGTCATGCATACGATAGAATAAAAAATTAACAAATACAAACACAAAAGTTGTACAAATAAAAAAGTTTGATTGCACTTTTATATCCAATTAGAAAATAATTTAGCTAATTTGTAAATTTTATATGATGACTGAAAATTATCCATTAAAAATACTAAACATTTTTAGTGAAAAGTATGTTTTCTTATAAAATTAGGTCAACAAACGAGTACACAGTTCACCTGATGGGAAGTGGATGCTGTGGGCCGTAGATATTTATATCTATCATCGGTTAAGAATCAAAATGCCTTGTCACCCCTGTGGACTAAGACGGATTGCCTCGTTTTCAGTAAAAAGGGATTCAGTACCGCCTCACTTACCGTATGAAACAGAATTAAGCTGCTATTTTACCCCGGTATTCTGTGAGGGCGCGGTCCTTCCCGGGTTGAGCCGACCCATACGTGCTATAACTATAATTAATGCAGTGAGATGCAGTGTTGCTTGTATTTTATTAAATTTACTTTACATACATGTGTTTAAAACGAATAGATGTTTACTTTAACAAACCTTATCGTAATTTATTATATAATTCGAACAAAACATTTCGTTAATACGTGAGCAAAACCAGTACTAACGCTTTAACGCACAGTAAGAAGTCGCTAGACGGGTCTTTTTCTTTTTTTTTTGTGTCCTTGATTTTTCATGATAATTTTAAGTTAATAAATAATTGTTTATTCATAAATAACGATCCCGTGACGTCACGCCCCGTCGATGTGTAATCGAACTTTAAATGGTAGTGGTTGTTTATAATGTAACAACAAAATGAACACAATGACGAGATAGAAATATTCAGCGATAAGGCGTCAGGACTCATGTCTTTATCGCCAGGAATAATAGAAAATTGTTAGTTAATATTTCCAAATTAAGACATATTTTCTTCTAATTACTTATATATACTTTTATACGTGGTAGAGCCATGCTGCAGATACTTAGTAGTATGGTTGCAGCACGAATGGGTCGGCTCGACCGGGGAAGGACCACGCTCTCACAGAATACCAATGCTTAATGATGATGTGTTTCGTATGGTGAGTGTAGAGAACCGGAGACCCTTTTTAATGGAAACGAGGCATTCCATCTTAGTCCTCACGGGTGACAACGCATCTGCATTTTGATTCGTAATCGAGGATAGATGTAGATGTCCATGGGCCACAGCAACCACTTACCATCAGGTGGACTGTGTGCTAGTTTGTCACCCTATCCTATAAAAAAATATTTCGTCATTGATTCTCTCTGGTTTTTGTTTCAACTATCGTTTAACATAAGGTTGTAATAATACGAAATACCTGTTATATATGCTATATATAACTTTATAATCGAAAAAAAAATATGTGTAATTAAAATATGTGGGTAGATAATATTACCGACAAATTCAGAATAATATTTACAGATTTACCCGTCGTTACGTTGAACTTGGGTGCGAACTTAGATGCCGATAAAGTAGTGGAAGGATCTGATATCTACTTAGATTGTAGAGTTCGTGCAAACCCTTGGTACAGCAATGTTCACTTCACTCATAATGTAAGTATTCAAAATTCGTATTATTTATACTCATCATTACAGCCTACCAAAATCAGAAAATAGGTCACCTCCGTAGCCTTAAAGCCATAATTGATAGGCGGGATGACAACCGCATTTACTAAATCTAATAGTCGATCTTAAATAAAATTTAGCAATGTTTTTTATGTGAGACTAAAGATTATAAAATCAATGTAATCTTATTGAAGCCCTAGCATTAGTATTGAGTAGGGCACGATTTAGAAATGAGTTTGTATGAGTGGCCTCTTTTTTACACTGAACCAGTAGAATATTATCCCTTTACAAAAGGCGTCTTAAAGACCGACGAGACATTTGAAGTAATATGTGTGATTAATGTAATACTTATGGCAAAGCATTAAAGGAGTGTTACATTTTTATGACGCGTTACAGAAGAGTCGTGGTAGCTCAGATGGTTAACGTTCGCTGTACTTAAATATAATGGAACGAGTAACCGGGGTTCGATCCCCACCGGCACCAATGAAATTGTCAATTGCAATTTTAAGTGCTGATTTACCACGTGCTCGGCGGTGAAGGAAAACGTCGTGAGGAAACCTGCATGTCTGAGGAAAAAGGAAAAAATATTTCGAAGACATATGAAGTTCGCCAACACGCATTGGGGCAGCGCGGCGGATACTTCCTTGCCCTAAAACCCTCAGAAATGAGGGGGAGGCCTGTGCCCAGCAGTGGGACGTATATAGGCTGTAACTTTACTTTACATTTTTATGTAGGCGATTTGTTCGAAAATACATTATATTAGTAAAAACTAATAAAATATAAAATTAATTGCAAAATAAATTTTTAAAAATTAGATTTAAAGAAACTTTAATTTCAAAGTCGACTTCAATAACTAAAAGGTATAAAATAATAATTAATAAGTAATTTGAACTCGGTGCTAACACATAATATAATGTCCTCCAGACCGAATTTCAGTCACGGCGGCCGGCCTCAACGGAGACTAGCCATCGCCGCAGGACAGGATTATAGTGCCCAAGTGTATGCGCAAGCATAGGTGCACTCTCTATTCCCTTACTCTCATAATCCGATGGGACGGTAAGCTGACACGACCGGAGAGAGATTAGGCGCAGGACTTACGTATTTTCCGAGGCACGGGGGTGAGACACCGCCAACTTCTTGACTCCGGGCAGCTACTGAGAATTTCTTGACAGAAAAACTTAATAATTGACTTTTTGGCCCGACCCGGGATTTCAATCCAGGACCTCATGATCAGTAGTCGCACTACTACAACCACTAGACGAAGAGGTAGTCAACACATAGTATATAGAGGAATTAAATATATAGTACATAGTATATAGAGGAGTTAAAGCCCCAACTTCAGAAGTTATTATGAGATATTTGTTTTATTTCTTTTATTTTTTTCAAGTAACGTAATTTTTTATAAGTCTAATTGGTTTTCTAGATTTTTATTGTGCTAAGAAATATAACAAGCTCAATGTAACAGTCAGAAAGTCGTCTAAGTCGTTATATTAATAATTCATCCTCTTTTATTACTGGAATTTTGTCTCGATTTTTATATGAGACCACCTCAAAAGTATACACTTTTAAATAAAAAAGAATCATGAAAATCGGTTCACAATCGACATACATAATTATCGAGCTTGAAACATACAAAAAAACGTGGAGTAGGGTTTGAGAAACTCTTCCTTTTTTGAAGTTGTTTAAAAATAAACGTTATAATTATATTTGTGTAAAGTGTTTAATGTAAATAAAATAATATGTCAATATGTTGAGCCACTCTTACATTATTTTGTCATGTACGAGACAAATGTGCTACATTATTTTATATCCTACTCAATCCTACATGGCTTCTCTCTACTCTAAACATCCTCTATTTTTAAAGTTATTTTCTGCTTTATTATATTACTGTATAAAAACAAATCTGTTGATACTGTTACATGAATAAGTCAACTTGCGCCATCTAGTGTCAGGAACGAGAGCGAGGGGAGCTTTGCAGTAAATGACATCACAAATCTTTCGACCGACAGCGCCACCCGAAGAACTAAGTTTCTGGAAAATCTACACTCGAATACTCGTTGCCTGGCGCGCATTTACTTGAATGTTCGGGACGCTTCTTTGCTAATTATATAAATAGGCGCTGCAAGATGCGATCGGGGCAGAGTTGAACTCGGCGACACAAGCGAAGCTTCGGAGCGGAATTAAGTGAATTAGTGTGTTTAATTATTAGTGCTTTTAGTTTTAATTTGTGTAAAGTAAATTAAAGTGTTAATTTAGGTAATTTTATCGGCAATTTTTATTGTCACGAACCTCAAGCTCGTAACAATTGGTGTCAGAAGTGGGATAAAATCATGCCGATTTTACCTAAGGAGGAAACGGAGGGTGTCCGTACCCGAAGTCAACGCCAGCAGGAGACGGACCAAAGGAGATTTGGTGGTGCAACGCCGCAGACGACGGAGGGTCATCCGCCGGCTGCAGACCCGTCAGTAGCTCCTGAGGGTCAGCCGCCGGCTGCAGGCCCGTCAGTAGCTCCTACATCTGCAGCACCTGACTTAGGTGCTCTGATGGCGATGCTACAGGAGCAGCTGCAGCGCGGACGAGAGGAACAGGCTCGCCAGCAGGCGGAACAGGCACGCCGATTGGAAGAGCAGCTGCGGGGCGGACAAGAGGAACAGGCCCGTCGGTTGGAAGAGCAGATGCTCCTCATGAAGGACCTTCACGCTACCTTCGAGAAGGAGATAAAGGAGGTGAAGGATAGGGTTGCTCAGTATGACAACCGCCTGTCGGAAGCTGAAACCCAAATCGCGAAAGCTGAAAACCGAATCGAGAAAGCTGAAACCCGAATCGACCAAGTAAACAATCGGGTTGACAACGTAATGGCGGACATGAAGATATCACTAGACGAACTCAAACTTGGGGATGGAACTACAGCTCCCGTACTAGCTACAGCACCTTCGCTACGTGGATTCAAAGTGCCGCCGTTCGACGGGACTTCTTCCTGGTCGGCCTACAAAATCCAGTTCGAGGCTGTTATGAAGGCGAACGGCTGGAATAAAAGTCAGGCCATGACTGCTCTCACACTAGGCCTGCGCGACCAGGCCTTAACAATTCTGGAAGCTCTCGGTGAGGAAGTGACTTATGAGCAACTCCTTGAGGCATTGGAGGCGAGATATGGCGACGCTCACCTGGAACACGTCTTTCGTGCGCAGCTTAAAGATCGTGTGCAGCGCATCAACGAAAACCTGCAGCAGTGGGCTCTAGAAGTGGAGAAGCTGGTGCGAAAAGCATACCGGTCTGTACCTGCGCTCATTGAAGGGAACCTGGTGCAGACATTCATCGACGGCATCCGCGACTTGGAAGTCAGAGCTGCTGTGAGGCTCGGGCACCACGAGACGCTTAAGGACGCCTTGGCCCATGCACTGGAAGTGGAAGCCGTGCGGCAGGATCATCGTTCCCATCGCGTCAGGTAGGTTGCAGCAGCTACAGTTCGCGACCGCAACAAAGGATACAGCCCAAGGTGCTATGGCTGTGGGGAAAAGGGCCATCTTCGATCCAGCTGCCCTAAGCGAACCCTAGAAAGGGAAATTGAACGATCTCAGGAGGGTAGTGCGGCCAACAGCACCGCCCAGCAGCGGCAGGGAAACGAGTAAAAGCCAGAACTGCGGGGCGGGTGCTGGCTGCTGTTAAAAGAGCCCCCAAGGATCTCGATCTCACAAACCCATGATGGGAACAGCCTAATCATAAAGAGCGAGATCAACGGAATGCCGTGTAAGCTGACCATAGACACTGGAGCCTCTCGTACGGTTGTTAGTTCCCAACTTATAAGTCAGTTCCTTGGGGACTCCGCATACAACCGAGAACGCATTAATTTGGTAACAGCCACCGGTCAGCGTATACCCGTCCGTGGAGAGAAGGAGATGGAGTTGAAGCTAGGCAACGTGATCTACCTGCATAATGTCGTCGTGGCTGATATAATGGACGACTGCATCCTAGGCCTAGACTTTATGAGGAATAATTGTTGTGAGATCGACGTTAAGCAAGGTGTTTTGAAATGTGGACAGGAGGAACTTTTTATGGAAGGTGCGTTACCAGGGAACGTGTACAGCATCAAGAAGATTGTTCTTCCGCCGAGATCGGAAACGATTGTTCCGGTTAGTCTTCCTCGAAACGCTGGGCAAGCTCACCGTTGTGTACTTGTGGAAAGGGTAAACAATGACCTTCCATGGAAAGTAGCTCGAACCTTGGTCAGGACCACTGACATCTCAGGAGTACGTGTGCTGAACCTTTGCGACCGGGAACAGATTATAGAAAAAGGCACACTGGTTGGTACTTGTGAGGAAGTGGATTGGTTACGTCAGTGCCAATATATATCGAGTGGGACCTCCAGCAAGGATTCAGAAACGAGAGTGACCACACTTTTGGAAGACTGTCGCAGTGTTCTGTCCCCGAACGAATTGGTCAAGGCGAAGAAGTTGTTACTCGAGTACGCCGATGTATTCTCATCAAACGATGCTGACATAGGAAAGACTGGTTTAGTTCAACACAAAATAAACACAGGTGAAGAGTTGCCTATCCGTCAGCGGCCAAGACGATTGCCGGTAGCACGTGAAAAGGAAGTGGAAACCATGATTAAGGGAATGGTGAAGGATGGTGTTATTGAACCTTCATCTAGTCCATTGTGTTCACCCGTGGTACTGGTAAAGAAGAAGGACGACAGCTTGCGGTTTTGTGTTGACTACCGCCGTCTGAACGACGTTACTAAGAAGGATAGCTATCCCTTGCCAAGAATTGACGACACGCTGGACATGCTTACAGGAGTAAAGTGGTTTAGCACGCTGGACCTAAAAAGTGGCTACTGGAAAGTTGAAATTGACCCTAAGGACAAGGAGAAAACTGCGTTCTCGACGGGAAAGGGTCTGTGGCAATTTAAAGTAATGCCGTTTGGGTTGTGCAATGCTCCAGCAACGTTTGAAAGGCTAATTGGCGATGCCTGTCTGGTCTACTTGGAT